AATAACAGATAACTGAAGATTATCGTTATTTAAACCTTGTTTAATAAGACCGAGAACATCAGTAAAATCCATATTCTCGACATTAATACCATTAATACTAATTATACGGTCATTTTTACGTAAACCAGCTTTATGACCAGGTGATGTTGGTTCAACTTCACGAATATAATGATGTGTACGTGTTTGAATATCAGTAGAAATTAATATTCCAAGACCATCATAAGAATCTGTACGTTTTAATGTACAACTATGCAGATTTCGTTCAAAGTCATCAACAGGAGCCCTTGTTAAGAAAGGCTCTAAAAATACAAAAAAAAAAAAAAAAAAAACAAGAATTGATATATTATTGTCTTACATACATATATAGTATATAAACAAAATTTAAAACATATTCAAATATTGAAACAAAAAAAGAATTATTTAATATATTACCCTGTATATATTCACTATCTATATATGAACGAGACGATTGATCATAAGTATTGTCTCGTTCGGTTATCATTGATGATTGCATGTTAAATGTAGGAATTGACGAAATCATATTGTTAATACCAAAATTATCACCTATGAAAAAAATAAATAAATAAATAAATAGAAAAATATGTTCTATTTTGTTTTGTCTTCTTATTCTTACTTGAATATTGATCAGTCGGTTGTATTTCATATGTATATTGTGGATGTTGATTTTCATATACATATGATACTTCATATTGTTCTTCATGCATATCTTGATCATTATCATCAATTATATGATGTTGTTTTTCATAAAGATCTTGTTCAACATATCGTGGACTATATCGATGTTCTTCATAAGTATCTTTTTGTTCTAGTGGTACAGTTTGATGATCATAACAATCTTTTTTTTGTTCATTTGTACGCTCAACTTGAACAAATGTAAATGGTTTCTGATATGAATCATTATAGTTATTATTCATACCGTTTTCTTGTGAACTCCATGTTCGAATTTCACCTGGACAAAAACAAGGTGTTCTACCACGAGTATAGACAGTTGTTGAACTACGATAAGTTGCTGGAGGTTCAGGAGAATCACAAGGTGCTCGTTGAATTGGTGATAATGATGCATCACGTAAATCTTCATGATCTCTATGAGTAATATCAATATCTAATGAAACAGATGGGTTTTGTGGAGTCATTGGTCGAATATAACCATCATGACGTTGAATATTACAAGTTGATGTTGATGTATCTTTTGCTGGAGAACGTGACCATGGTTCATTTTCTTCATAGTCATTTAATGTTGTAGTTGATGTATCAAAACGTCGTGGTCTTTGTGGTGTTGTTGTAGTCGTTGGTGGATGTTCATCAAAACGATAAACAGGTGTAGGATGTATATGATATCGAACAATAGCACTTAACCCTGGATATGTACTTACTAGAAAGAGAAAAAATAAATTATGAAGAATTTTTGATATCGTAAAAATTAATATAACTTACTACTAGTTTTAGATGGTCTGTATGATGTATAATTATCATCAGAAATAATTTCAGCATCTGGTAATGATCCATATGTACTTGACCATGGTCGATATGGTTGTACTGGATTTAGTTTTACCAAATTAGCAATAGTTGATGATGAATCACTCGTTCTATCAGCACGTGATTGTGATTTTGTACGTTTAGGTTTTTTCTTATTTGATGTACCACCAAAATTTATTAAAGGAGCATTTAATTTTGGAACATCACGATCTCTAGATGATGCTGATGCTGCACGTGTTTCACTAGTATTTAATGTAGATGATGATGATGATGTATTTCTCCATTGTACAGGATTTGTATTTGTATTTGATGGAGGACGAGATGATGTTTGAGGAAATATAGGAGGTTTATCAACTACCATTTGTGTAGTATTTAATGATGGAGCATCACCTACTTTACGCTTACGTTGAGGTGTTGAAATAACTTCAACATCTGCATATGGAATTGTAACTGCTGGCATTGAATTATCATTTTGATAACGATATTCAATATTTATGTTTGGTAAACGTTGACGATTCATAGATGGTGAAGGACTTCGATTATTTGTATATGTTGGATGTATAAAAACATCGACGTCAGGTACAATTGTCTATCGCAAAAAAGAAAAATAATAAAAATAAGTCAAATATAATCGTGATTAAGTATTTCTTTTTTTTTTTTTTTTTGATTCCTTTTCCCTTTCTATCTTTCTTTTCTGTCAAGAAAATGGAATAGACAGATGATAAGAAGAAGAAGAAGAAAAAAAACGAAAGCTATTTCATTTATAACTCTTCTTCAATTCTTATACACCTTTTTGAGATCTGCACTAAATAAACAGCTTTTTCATTGCAACCATATTTATAGTTATCAAGTGTTTTTTAACATATAAGCAATTTCATTCGTTTCTTTTCTTTCATCAGACGCTTGTTCGAACAAATGTCATGTTGAAATGCCAATACAAAAGATTCAAAAGACAACGACAAATAAAGTGCAAATAAGACACACACATACACATTCGGCATTCGATAGCAATCAATATTGAAAGATTAGGTAGACAAACGATTGATGCTGATTGTTGTTATTATTGTTATTGTTATTCTAATAGTAATGCCAATGGCTCAAAAATTTAAGGAAAAAGCAATGAGGAAAGTATTTCGAATAAAAAATACAAACAAACAAAATGAACAATCTGTAGACTGATGATCTTACTTGTTGAGATTGTCGAGTTTCATCAATTAACATATAATCACGATAACCTTGTCTTGTTAATGTATCATAATTTGTTGATGGTTGTAATCCTTTATTATTATCATGTACATATTCTGGTGTTTGAGAATCAAAATTTTGACTATATCTTGATGTTCGATTATCTTGAACATAGATGGGACTTGATATTTCTATAGGTGGTACTGTAGATTGTTTTGTCTTTCGATTATCTTTTGTTTTCTTTTTGCTAGTTTTAGGTGTACTTGCTGTTGTTGATAATTTTGCTTTCTTTTTACCGAATGGCCAATAGACAGCAGGTGCTCGAAGACCGGGTGTTCCAGTCGATGATCTATTTGGTTCGGGTGATGATGAAGTTTGACGTACCGAACTTGTTGGTGCACGTCTATCATTACTAGCTGAACGATTAGGTGAGGAAGAATCTTTACGAAATAAATTTCTAAGTTTGTCACTTAAACTTCGTCGATTAACACTACGTTGTGAACTATTACCAATATCTTCATTAGATATTGGTGGACGGCGTGCAACAACAGGAGACGAATTTTGTTGATCAAATATAGTGGATGACATTTCTTTCGTAAAATAGCTTGCTTTTACCTATCACCATAAATATAATAAGTAAAAGAATGATGAGTAAAAGATAGATTTATGATTATATGTTGCTTTACTCACACTTAAATGTGAGAGTATATGAAAATCATATTATGCTTATGGTAAGACACGCGCGGGCACTTTTTTTTTTCTTCGAGGATAAGTGATTTGTCTGCATGACGATGACAAAACGAAGCTAGTATATTTTTTTAAGTTTGCCTTGCACAGCTCGTCAAGAGATTTTGTCACATAACCCCTCATCTTTCTCTTCTCTCTCTCTCTCTCTCGCTTTCTTTGTCACTCTCTCTCTCTTCTCTCATACTTCTCTTTCATCTTTTCTTACATGCATGTATTTACAACTCAAATGAAACGACACAAGCCTGCACAGCAGGGAGAGAGAAAAGTGAAACAGAGGCAAATATATAGAGAAAGAAAGTTGCTAATACACAGTTCCTCTCCGACGGGATTAGACCTGACTGATCAAGTAGCTAAACGAACGATTGAATATATATCAATTACATATTGCATTTACTTCTTATCATTCGAATAATGAGCATGTTGAATTATAATTATCTTAAAGATAGTATTCCTTTTCTTCTTTTCTTTTTTCCTATTACATCTTCGTTGTCCTCTTTATACACATAAGTGTTTTGTTTGTTCATATTTTTTTTTTTTTTTATAGCCAAACATTTATGATAGTGAAGTTCTTCACACTCCCATTGATGTCAAATATGTAAATCGTTTTTCTTTCCAATGACCTTCGATTGTTCTTCTTCTTGTATAAAACTCCAATGCTTATCTACAGAGGTTTTTAATCAGCTTAGTCACATTATCGCCTACTATTGCCATGAATAAATTTTTGCAGACAGAGAAGATTTACACTAAAAAATGTATCGAATTAGATATAGTTAAAAAAAAAATGAGAATCTATGTACATGGTTTCAAATTACTTCTCATTCCACTTCAACCATGTTGATAATAAAAAGGTATTTGTGTATGTGCGAGTGTGTCTATTCTGTTCGTATTGGCATGCTGTGTCATTTCTTTTCTTTACGTTTTTTTTTACTATAACAACAACAATAACAGTACAATCTCTATAATCACATTCTTCAGTGATCACTGTATTATATACATATATATAAATATATACATATATGTATATATGCTTCAGTTTCAATAGTAAAACGAAGCTAACAAAACAAAAAAAAAAAAAGGCAAGCATAGATATGCATATACATATGAACAACAACTAATCAAGGTTATCAAAAAAAAACCGAACTGAAGATATATTTTCTGTTGATTGTAGAAGCTAATCTCACCAAACTCTCTCTCTCTTTTTCTCAGACTTAGACTGATAAAAGAAATGTGATCTTATTCGAATATACTTCATCATCAAAAAAAGTATACAATCATATTTTGTACTATAGAGAAAGAAAGTATGTAAGATGATAATAATCATAAATAACCAACAATTAAGTGTGGACGACACACGAAGAAAAAAAAAATACCGATCTATAATACTTATTGACTTAATACATATATACATATTCAAAAAAAATGTATATATACGATTTTAGAGCATCACTTCTATTCAAATGATTACAGACTGTATATTTGTATATAAATATACGACAAGCTACTTTTTTTAGAATAAAATCCTTCACTATTATTTTTGTGTATTGTTCAAGGGCAATAACAAAAAGAGAAAGTCAAATAGAAGTCGACTGTATCAAATATGGAGATGAAGAACTGATTGATGGTTGTTGTCCCAGCCATGTATATGAATTAGTATCATGTTTGAATTTCAATGTCTGTCGTTCAGTAAAAAGACGAAGTTGACGTCGTCGACATTTATAATATCCATAAAGACATATAATAGTTGTTACTACTATGATTAAACAACTTATACTAACAATACAACCAAGAAGTAAATGTAATGCTGAATCAACTAAATGAAACATAAACAGTAAAGAATTATAGGTTAATAATGAGAAGAAATAAATACCTTCTACTTGTTTTAAAATATCATTATCAATTGATCGAGAAAATCTCTTGAATAAAATATCAATTTCTAATATATTATTAGCTCGTTTTATATGATGTGCTGATCGATCAAAATTAAGATTAAAATTTTTCGTATTGTTAATAGTTTTTATTAGTTTTTCAATTGTATCTATTGTATGATTTTCGGATAGACTTGAGATAAGAGTAATGTTACTTGCAAAAAGTATGGAACCAGATCTGAAATTACAAGGAGACGGTGAAGGAAAAAGTAAACTTTTTTTTTTTTTTTTTCTTTCTTCAAAAGACTAGTCACTCACTGTAATGAATAGAATTCAAATTGATTACAAAGAAAAGAATATGGTGAATTATGATTAATTAAAAATAAGAACTAAATGAAAAAAAAGAAAAAACAGACAAAATTCAAAATAATTTAACTCATATGGAATAAAATATCATCTACCAAATTTTGTAGATCTAAACGTAAATTTTGACTTAAAAGAGAACTAAAATTAAAATAATCAGTTGACCACGAACGATCAAGTATTCGACCAAACCAGAAGAATTTATATTCTAAAACAAGTACTCCATATAAATCATCATATATAATTAATATAACAAAAGATGGCATTTCTTTATAATATACCTGTTCTACGATTAGATGATAGTGTTGATTGAAAAAAAGTCGATGTGGAAATATTTTTATTCAACAATATTAAATTTTTAGTTGTAGAATCATGAACAAGCTCAATTGTTGAATTTTGAATTATTGTCAGATCAGTTGTCGTATCTTCGATAGTTGGATTACGATATGTTGATGTTAATTCAAATTCTACAATTAAGAAAATAAATATCTAAATTAAATTTTTTTTTTTTTTAATTTAATTTACGTTGACATGTAAGACATAAAGATCGATTAAAAAGTATTTCATCTGGTATTAATGGTATATCACCAGAAAAACGTCCTCGCATATAAACAAAATAAAAACATTGTTGTTCAATAAGATATGAAGTTAAATTAATTGTTGATCGTACGGTCAATAAACCCGATGATGATAAACGTTGAAATGTAACTAAAGACGTATCATTTTGTTTTACAATAATAACATTTGATTTTGTCACATTATAGATATCCCAAAAAGCTTCAGTATCATTTTCATTCCATCGAAGAGCATAAACAAGTCCAACTGTCTATATAGGATTATGTTTTTCAATTATAAAAAAAAAAAACAAACTACAAATCTTTTTTTTTTTTGTATTTTATTATACATACTGGTTCATCTAGAGAAGCTGAAAATCCAAAAGCATACCAAAAACCTTGCGCAACAAGATTTGTTCGAAATTCTATGACTGCTTGATTTGTCTCTGGATGAATTTGCCAATCTAATGTAAATTTAATATTTATATTATCAATAACTTGCCATCGACCAGAGCATGTATCTTAATAGAAAAAAAATTAAATAATTATGATTAAAAAAAAAAATTAAAAACTTACCAGGATTAGATATTGAATCTAATGTGACACTTCCAATAACAAATAAGATAAATACAGAACTATTTGGCTTCATCAAGTGTATTACACTAAGCTCTTCTATTCACACCTTTAAGAAGAAGTAAAGAATTGTGACAGCAAACATTGAAGGGAAATAGTTGGACATTGTAGTACCTTCTACAGCTCATTTTTTTTTCTTTTCGTTCTCTATTCTATATATACATATGCTGTCGTCTAAACAACGAACATTTGCTCATAAATCTCGTATATATATACAACGAATCAGTGCGCTTCATTGAATGTGTTTGTTTTGATATGCTGACGTATATATATATAAATATTTATTAATTGAAAGAACAATAAAACAATCTACTTGATTAATAGTAATATACTAACCGATGGGAGAAAAATTTTTAAATTTCGTCTCGAAAGAAGAATGATAGGTCACGTATAAGAGGATACTTGACTTCATTGCTTCAGTTCATCGAATATTAAATGAAAAAAAAAAAAGAAAAGTAAATGAATTATTTTCGAGTGCATCACTTTTTTTATTGATTTATAAACGTGCTTTATATTCTAATCAACAGAAAAGCTATATCAAACATTTTATTGACACGTTCACTTTTCATTTTCTCATTATGTTATTTAAGGTGTAGATTATTGACAACTCTTCAAAATTGAAGATTAAATAAAATTTTGCATTGAATACAGGTAAAAAGACGTGTTAGATTACCTATGATGTTCATTTTACATGAAAATACTATAACTTAATAGAAAAATTTCTAATATCAGTCGATTTCAAGTAATATAAAATTGAAAAAACAGGTAGTATTTCTGATTATGATACTCAAGAAAAATGAAAAAAAAACAGTATGAGTCTTATTTTCAAACTTTCGTAAATATTGTATAGATTATTATTTGCTTCATTGAACCGAAATAGACTCAGCATCTATATTATTATTATTATTATTATGAACACTGAAGGCGATAGTATTGAAATTTCAGAGGGAAATAAAGTTAATGATGAGAATAAGAAAAAACACAAAATACATAATAAAACAAAACGAAAAGTAACACAAGAAAACCTTGGTACATATGGTAGAAAAAAGGAGTTGAATATGAATATAAAACAATAGGAAACGATCATGGGTAGGTTGAAAGATACGATTACAAAGTTCAAATATCTTATAGAACAGACAGAACAACCTTTGGTATGAATAGAACAAAGGAACGTATGCACATTTGCTTACTATTGAAAAAAGAAAAGTAATATTATGATCAGGTCAAAAATCAAAGTTAATATACTGGTAGATTTAATATTGCTCGTACATGGAGATGAATGATTCGAATTCGATTTGATTAAATATTTGGAATCAAAAATATTCTTATGAAAGGTTATATATATTTCTTTACTATTATACGATCAGTTAAATCAATCATTCAGAAATTTATAAAAACGATGATTTGATAAACAAGAAAACAAGACGTTACTAGCCTCTTTGAGTGAGTATAAGATACAATCAAATCATTCGTTAACATAATGAATTTTCGATTATTTTTTAATTAAAAAATGAACAATCTCAAAATAATTCATAGTGTCAATTCATACTTCTAAAAAAGAGCCGATCTTCTTAAATCCTACTTGTGAAATGTTGTTTAATATTTTCTTTGTTGGTGTAAAGTTAAGTCTTGAATATTTACTTTCATAGGTTTATAACTCAGCTTTCTTTCACTCACTTACTTCTTGAATTTTCAAATAAGCGGAAACTGATCTTTTTTTTTTTTACAATGGTTCTCACAATTGAATGAGTACGAAATCAATCAAGAAAACTTGTGTTTTGACATGCACTTGGAATTTATTTCATTTTGAATCTATACATCGTAACATTTCTTCCTGTTACTACAAGGTTTTGATAAGCAGTTGACTTCTGTTTACAACTTGCTGTAGACTCACACATTTGTTATTGCACAAGAAAAATAATTTACATTTCGAGCGTAAAAACTTCGTCTAAAAGAAAAATAAGGAAAGACATTTTTTGGTTCATATTTTGATTTTGTTACTCTGTATGTTCTAGAGAAAGAAACGATCAATAAAGAATAAAGTTAACATATTTTCAATCACAGTTTGATAGATTCAGGAACAATCAGTTCGACCACCGGAAACGGTCAGAAATGACTATGAAAAAGCAACATATCACTGCATTTAGTTTTACAACATTTCGTCATACTCTATAATCTCATTTTACGAGTTAGTTTTTTGCTAGAGACACTCATTGTTTTTTCTATTATTTGTTTCTTTTCCTAAAATGATGAATTACGATGACGAAATCGAACCGATTTCTAGCGTTTCGGATCGTCCATGGTGACTGTTTTCTTAAAAAAAATGCCAAAGTAAATTAGTATGTCCTAATCTTTTGCTGAAGGACACTTCTCATTTATCCTATTCAGACAGGCATTGAGCGACAGTTGAACATGTTGAAACAAAAAAAAAGGGTCAAATGAATATTGATTGGTATAAAACATAGTTGAAAAACTTGCAACACAAAAAAAAAACACAGCCTTGAAGTTTCAGATGTAAAAGTGGAATTGAAACTAATTAATTAGAATTAATAATGTCACGTGAAAGGCATAGTTAATTTATATCAGTAGGATAGATGCAGAATAGAAGTAAACAAATTAGAATCAAGTACATCTACTTCTTCTAAATAAGTTATATTTGTTATGAATGTCTTATCAAGTTCCGCAAATATATACTACGATTGAAATACGTTTTGAAAGATTTGACACTTTTCGATAGTTAAGTTTATTTATAACCACATAAGAACCTTTTGATCTGTAAAAATGTAATAAATAGACGATAATGTCAGAAAAACAATCCATTCTTTTAATAATCTTGAGATTGATGATCGATTTTTGCCTATAATTTTGATTTTACATCTACTTCTTAGTTCATTGAAATAAAATCTTTGATTGGTAGAATCTGTTATTCATTTATTATAAATGTTTTGAATTAATTTTTGTTTCGATCAGATTTCGCTCGAGTAAGTTTCGTAGATTATACTCATGTCAATGCATTGAATTCCAATTTTTCGTGCGTCATTAATAACATTTTTCTTTGGTTCATTGATGATGAACTTTTATGAGTCAATTTATTGTATAAATCTCACATTCTATTGTACTTTTTCATTTTTTATACAAATATATGATATTTGAACATGTATATTTAGATCAAATAAAACTTGACCACATATAATCATTATGTTCGATTATATAAAATACTGTATCCTTTTTAGTATAGCTGTTTACGTCTAGAGAAGAATTCAAATTCATGGGCACGGAATAGGTATTTTTATTTTTGTTTTATGCACTTTTATTAATTTTTACAATCTCATGCACTATGTACGTACGAGAAAGTCTGCTTTTGCCATCACAATGCAAAATAATTTAATATATTATATAGGAGAATGCAAAATTGGAAGAAAACTGAAAAAAGATCGAGACTCAGACTGATGAGTTTGGATTTTGATAAGGTGGGATGATGCTATTTCACATCATAAGTTACTTTTGTAATTCTTATATGTATCTGAAACGATTGTACTTCAGATAGAGATGGAGGATGTGGGTGTACATATTCGTTTCATTCAAAACCCATATCCACACTCTCTGAAGACCGACAAATAAACAAAATATTTATTGAATCATCGACGAAGTAGCATTTTAGTGACTTATACGCTGTAATATCAATAAGCAGCTTTTGAACGCTACTTCATTCATGAAATCCAAAAGTAACTTATTTATCAAAAAATGGAGACACGTAACAATTCAAATAAAAAAAAGCCGTATAAGAAATACTTACAATTTCTAGTTGTATACATATCTATTAGGTAAAGAAAGAAAATTTTTTGAAAGAAGAATTTGTTTGTATCTACTTAATATACAGAGCATCTATTCCACGAAGAAGTAACATACTAAAAGTCGCCTAGTTCAGTAGACGCAATATTGTTCACGCTTTGATTACAAGTTCATTGTTTTGCATGACTAATTATGAGACAAGTAACGAACGTCATCGTCGTTCAAGTAAGTTAGGTAATTAATCGGTGATCAGAAATGATGTTTACGCGAAGAAAAGTTGTATTTAATGCACTTACATCGATAGATATAATCTTCGTCATGGCACTATAACTGTTTGAAAACCGTTCGTTAAGCATGATTTGCTGAATTAGTGCTCTTCTGCTCGAGTTCTTTCTATATTTCATTCTTAAATATTTGTTAACTATTACAATACGTCAGTCTCTGGTCATAATGCCACCTCTAATAATTGTGAGCTTGCTCGCGTCATCAGTACGAATCACCATATGGACTCTTTTTTCGTTCGATTTACAAGTCTGATTATTTACTAAAGATGACATCCTAAAAGTAGTCATTACTTAAAATAATGGACCAATAGAGAAAATGGCAGTACCATATGCTACAACATATTACAATCGATTGAACCGGTGACTTTTAACGAGTCATGAATAACCTTTGCTTTTGGTGAAAAACGAACGACATAGGTTGATATATATGTGGCGTGGGACACTGGTATGTGTTTCATCATCATAAGAAGACCATGAACTAAACGCAGATAACATGTACGATACTGTACTCGTGCATGACGGACAGATGTTGTAGAGTGCATTGATGCCATTGAGTTATTATTCCAGCGGTTCATTTTTTTCAAACTGAGCGTCTGTTGCGTTTGATGCTATTGATTCACATACCTTCTTATCGCTTTTTTTTTTATAAAACCATATATGTCACCATCTTTTACCACTTTAGTTTCTTTCTAAGATGGTGTTTTTCTTAAAGATACAGGACAATGCGCTCAACATTGTTCTTATCGATCGATAGAATTCTTTCTTTTTTGAAAGATTTTTGAAGGTATGAAAGTTAAGCAATGTATTAATAGGAAGATACGTATGTTTTAATCTTATTTCAATATGAAAACACTAGTTACATCAGGTGAGTCAAGCATTTTACTTATTGGCAAGATTTATAAAAATATGTATTCGTTATAATATCGATATTTAAAGACAC